AAGTTGCATCACTAGCTCAAGGCTGTAAACAGCACCAAAACGATTTAATGTTAGTTACGAAAACCCACGTGAAGACAACGTTATGGGTCTGGAGTACCAAAACCATGACCATGAGAAGAAAACAAGGAAGGAAATAATTGACCAAAGCTGCTTTGAGAGAGAATGTTTTGGGCCTGACACGCAGGCTCAAAAGTTTGCAAGCTCCGAGCCCAAGACCACCTCTCCCAGCGCTCCCACCCCCATTGTGTCTTCTCATAACGTCACAAACTACACGAGGATTGTTTTCCCTCGCCATCATCCAGCACCGGAATGTGGAGTTGATAACGTTACGATTCTTAATGGTGGAGAGGTTCTCTTCCCATCAGAGGATTCCAGAATCCTGGCCCATGAGAAATATACCAACGTCACTGTATAACATTTAATGTGTCGCATTACATTTTCATCCGGCATGCCCGACAAAAAAAAAATCGACGATAACTTATTTTGCTAAACATCCTGCAGTTTAAGTTGCACCCTGCGGCTGCATATCATGAATTCATTAAGAAGTCGTGCCTTTGCATGATATCGCGGTGACTATTATACATTTATCTTTTATAGTTTAAATATGCACGTTGTGTTTGTTTGGCACCTTCTAAGAAGATGGTTTATGGCGTTAATTGCATAATAATTACTCACGAGCGTGGAGATAAAATCTCACTTTGTTGGTGGAGGCCCCCACGCTCAAAGACGGCTTAGAGTCTCCACGGAGGCCGCGTCGTATGTCATTGGGATGGAGAGAATGCTTGTACCGCTCTTATCAGTGGCACGTGACGGCTACTGCAAGATGTGACCATGTCCGTCCAGTGCTTGCCGAGCTGTATTGACTTCCGGTTGCCGAACGAATGCATTGTGAGGTCGCACTCATTACACACAAAGTGCTCGCCACAATGAACCACGATACCTCGCTGATCTCGACAAGGAGCATAAGCCATCACGCGAACTCCGGTGATCATCCTCACAGCGGCTTTTGGCTCGTCGATGAACAAAGACGGTCACCGCATCGCGCTCTTTCAGATCTGCTTCTGCAGCCGTCTGGAACGCTCTCTTCCTACCGATATTAGGAAGCCACTTGAGCTATGCACTTTTAAATCATCATCTAGATTGAAAACTCGCTTTTTTTTTTACTTCGTTTGAGTTTAAGTATTTGTCCTTCCGGCTTAGCACGGTTGGCTAAATGAAACAGGTGGACTTCTCCACAAATCTGGCTGTCGCCTGATGAAGCTAGTTGTAATTACTGGCGAAACGTCGTACTCGGATTGTAAATGTTGTGGCTTGGCTCTCCAACACACCGGTGTGCTGTACTAGTGACAAATTGGCCACGTTCTGCTTACGTGACAACCCTTACTAGTTGGCTGTGTCGGGTGGTGTCGGGTTTTAACGACACATTTATATATTTACGCGATCTAACCCAAAAAGCTTCTATTATGAGTGCGAAAGAAGTTCAACATACATACATCACGACGCCGCCTCGCCGCACATTAATTAAGCTAAGCCTCGCGCTTTCCCCCGCCGCTTTGTTTACGCGTGGTGTGTGCCACTCGATGGTTGCAGCAGCTCAGGCCGCACGCACGGGCGTGCGGCCTTGCCAGGATGCATTGGAAAGTGCTGCCAACTCTTTCTGTTTAAATGGGTTTGTAATTTAGTGCCGCTTACTCTGGAAAAATATTTAGTATTTTAAAGCGCTCTTAGTGCATCCAACCAGTTACAATAGCTAATTGAGATGCAGGACCAAAGCGATAAAAGAACAAGAATGATTGCATATTGGTTTATGATAAATTGTGTTTAAAGTTATTTATGCCCTTATTTGTTCATTAAATTCAAAGCAGCTTAGGATAAATATGTTTAAAGCTAAAAGCTTGAAGCTCGGTGAGGACTATGGTACGAAGCATTGTGTTTCCCGGGAGTATATGAACCACCAATTGCCCGTGGTATAATCTGTTGTGTTATAAGTGATGTGCCCTTTACAAAAGCACATGGGACATTTGAATCGTATCATAAATCACACGACAGGTCCTGGCGGCCCCTGCTATCGCAGACCTACTCTTCTGTGCACATTGCTTTTTTTTACTTAATCACTGAATATTCTGCAACTCGACCTTACAAGGCCGATAAAGTTGAGTTCCTCTCCGGTAAAATTCCCACGTTCGCTCCTGCGACAGATGCCGTGCCATCGTGCAGTAAAAGTTGCTCGCATTCGGGAGGTCGTGGGTTCACGTCCTCGTTTGGGGGGGGGGGGGAGCACCGCTTTGTGATGGAAGTCAGCGGTGGTTGTCCTCTGGAGAGACTCGCCCTTGCCATAGGGATGTGGATTTTTTTCTCCCCATTCACTTGCCCTCAGGACTGTAAATGGAAGATGAGCACCAGCGCCTTGCTGCATATTGAGCATCAAATCACTTTGCGAGTGTTTTCAGCTGACGCTGCTGCTGCGCTAGGCCATGCCGTGCGGACGGTTACAGGCCACTCAGGTTTGCGTAGGTCAGACACCCACCTGCATGCCGAAGAGGTGGTCTCTAGAAGGCAGTGCAGCGAATGGTTCTCAGACATATCTGTGCGGACCTTTGATTATGCCAATTGTTGTATTTGGGACCCAAAAATAACTTGACGGATTGGCCACGTATCCGAGCGGGAGCCCCCAGGCGTAACAAAGAATGAGGATTATTGCTGGCATTCACGCGCTGTTAAACCGAACAGCAGCAGCAGCAGCTGTGGCAAGGAGAGTCAAACAGCGCGGACACGGCACCTCCCAACGCCAGCCACGTTGTGGTCTTGCAGCTTGGGTGTCACGGTCGCGCTCTTGTCACTCGGTGTGATGATCATAACTTCATGCGTCTGTGATGTTTACACCGTCATCTCGATTGGATGTTCTTCTGCGATACATCACACTGCATGGATCCAACATCCATGAAACAGAAATGATAAAAAGGCAAAGTGTGTGGGAGATGCTTTATTATCAGTGGTTTTTCTTTGCAAAGACCGAAATACGTAAATTCTTGTTTTGGCATTATTTTGTAAACCCTGCTTCAATTCTCAATCTTTGCTGTCTCTCTCTTTTCCTCCTCCTCCTTGTGCTCAATCCACGCTGTCGCTCTCTCTCTCTTCTCGCCCACCCCCTTCACTGGAACAAACATCCCCCTCCACATTAAGTGGTCACCTTCGCTCACGAGCCTCTGCTCCTCACCCAAAACTCACTTCTTGTTCTCTTGCTCACCTCCACGACCCTTAATCCTCATAACCACCACCACCGTTACTGTTCCATCTTCATATTCTCATTACATGGCTATCACTCATTCCCCACTCATTCAACCCGTTCATCATCATTTACCGTCATCAATTTCGCTTTCACCAAACTCACGCATCACAGATTGGCCACCCATTGCTTCCTCTCATCTATTTCATTCACCTCACCTCCACTGTCACGTTCACACGCATCGTACCCTCCTTAATTATCTGTAAAGCACCTTGATTCAGGCGCAATATAAATTACATTAAGATAAGATAAACTCTGATTAATCACAACGTTTGGAACCTTTGGGCCTCTGCTCAGCCGCTGTGTTTATATATTTTTATATCGATTAAGAAACTCACATTTGTCAATGACACCGTAGTCAAAGAAAGCTAGTCGTTGCCTATTTTATTTATGATGCCACACTGTCATTGAGGAATGTGTTCAGTTGTTATTCTACCCGACTGTTTGCACCACTGTCAGTAGCAGCATTACCAAATAACTGATTTGTACACGAACTGTTTATGCTTTGTGTGTACATCCATTACTTGCCTTTATCCCGTCCTAGGACGGAAGCTGTAATATTTACTAAAAAATTGAGCAGAGTATAATTGTATCCTGTGTAAATTTAATGGCAGTGAATCTTGCACAAAAGTACATGATCAAACACTTGACAGCATTTCACTGTAGCACCGTATTAATGGCAGTGAATCTGGCACAAAACGAAGTCATCAAACACCTCACTGCAGTTCACTGTAGCACTGTATATAACTGACCTTCAATTTGTTTAAAGTCACTGTCTATTTTACTATAATGTAGAAGCATAAATTAGACTTACCTTTTGTGTCAAGTGCTGAAGAAATAAATAAGACACCAAATCCACTTTGTTGCTACGTATAATTATTTATTAGATTCACTTTCAATAAAGAAACGTGAAACTTGAAGCGAATTTGCATTTTTTTATTTCCGCTCGACCTGCGCGAGTGTAAAAATCCACCCACTCATGAATATTCATGACAGGGGGGTGCGGAATGTGGAGTGACGTCACGCGCGTTACACACAAACATACATTCTTGGCTCGTAGTAGTAATTATCTAAAATGGTTCAAACTGGTGACTGCCTTACGATTGCTGTAACCATGGCCGATACCTGGGTCTTTTGTTGTGATGGGCCGTGACAGACGAGTCACGTGGCACGGCGATGCCGAGTCACATGACCGTCAGCGTGCATCGATAATCCCAGGAATTACCACTTAATTTACTTCACCACCGCTAGTCATGAGAGTGTTATGCAAAAAAGAATAACTTGCAATGTTTCATACTCTTTGGGTCTTTCGGTAAATTCACGTAGATAGAAAAGTAATTAAAAATTGCGACGTTTCGGTTGCAACACAAGCAATCGTCTTCAGGTGAAAAAATACAGCAGGAGAACTGCTGAGGCAGGAGAAATATAGCGGGAGAGCTGCTGCAGCAGGAGGTTATAGAGGTTTGAGATGGGTGCAACCCAAGGGTAAGTGGGCGGGGCTAGAGATGGAATTTGCATGTAAGTGTAAGATCGGAGAGCCTGATAACCTCACGACTTCGGTGCTGAAGAGGCGGCAATTGTATTGCTAGAGATTAGCATGTCAATCTGTAATTTGCATGTAAATGTCAAATGTTTCGTGGCCCGCAAATGCCTCATGTGGGCAGCTGAATGATAGATTTCACACTAAGCGTTGCTTTTTCTTCTGTTGTTACAGGCGGCTTGCCGAACATTTGAGGTGCGATCACTCCAATTCAGAGGTGAGCTGCTCTCTCTCTCTCTGTGTGCCACTGTCTGCGATGTTCTCTCTCTGATGCCCAGGTGCTTGTTTGAGTGGCCCCACGCCCATCCTGGTTTCTTATGACCGACCATGTCCCGTCTTAGCAGCCTGTAAGTTGCCATTGGCTGCAAAAACCCGAGCGAACTGGAACACGTTCCTTCGGAGTGGGCAGGTAGGAACTTGGTTGGACAGCACATTCGTGCACGACAGACAAATATGCACGACAGATAGACAAATAATCCCTGGTGGGCAGTGTGGAACCTGTTGTTCCTACCTGTGTACAAGATCACGTGACTTGAGGTAGCCAGGCAGCCAGCCAGGTAGCCAGCCCCCTTAATTATCGGCCCCTCCCCCTTGCTTAGGCCCCTCCACTTACCCCCCCTCCCTTAGGCCCCTCCCCTGACCCCCCTCCCTCAGGCCCCTCCGCTGACCCCCCTCCCTTAGGCCCCTCTCCTGACTCCCCCCTTCCTTAGGCCCCTCCCCCGACCCTCCTCCCTTAGGCACTTCCCCTCTCCGTACCCGGCAGTAGGTCTCCACCAATCAAAGAGCTATTTATATTATCTATATATGCACGACAGACAGTCAGACAGACAAAAAATCCCTGGTGGGCAGTGTGGAACATATTGTTCCTCCCTGTATAAACTAAACAATACAAAAACTCTTTGACATTTTTATTTTTACCAGTTAAGGTTCACTGAGCTATGTAGCTCTTTTTCAGAAGCGACCTGGCTACAAATGATAGCTCAATGAAGTGGCTTATCGTGTGGACATGTATAGCAGCCAAATACTGTCAATGCGTGTCTCTAAATGTGGAGGGGAAAAGCGGAGAAAAATCCACACGACCATGGGGAGAGAAACATGCAAACTCCAAATATACAGCAGGCGTCAGGGTCGGGATCGAACCCACAACCTCCTGCATACCAGGCGAGGTAGTTAACATCTCACGACAGATCATTCATAGCCGGGGTGGAGCACTCAGTTTCTTTCTCACTGCCCCGGATAGAATTCAGAATGAAGCAGCCAGGGTGACTGACAATCCAGCACTCGATAATTAGCTTCATTCACTCTCCCACCGGCTGTTAGTCGCCTCCCTATCACTCTTCTATCGCTACTACTGCCGTGGTTACTGTTCCCATGAACTTTGCTCATCGATTCTCCCACCCATTCCGGGGACTCTGTCTACAAGACTGGCTGTTTTGTCTAATACACACCCACTCAATCGCCCTCTCACTCACCGACTCACTCACCTACTCATTCGCCCACTCACTCACCCACTCATTCACTCACTCACCCACCCACTCAATCACCCACCCACTCACCCACCGACTCACCCACTCACTCACTCACCCACTCACTCACTCACTCACCCACTCACTCACTCACCCACTCACTCACTCACTCACCCACTCACCCACCCACTCACTCACCCACCCACTCACTCACTCACCCACTCACTCACTCACCCACTCACTCACTCACTCACCCACTCACTCACCCACTTACTCACCCACTCACTCACCCACTCACTCACCCACTCACTCACCCACTCATTTGCCCCGCTGCAGGTCACAACACGTCTCTTTCTGCTTCTTCCCTCGCGCTGCTGCACTTGGCATTCCCTCCTCCCATCATCGTCGCTCTTCCCAAGTTGTTATAAAAACTTTGCTCATTTCAAAGACTTTATTTTTATATTTTGAAAGCCTGACAGTGTGGTGTGTTGCGTGTACCACGGATAGCGAGCATTGCTACCAGTTAAACGGTCCGTTCTATTGTAATGCTTGTTTTCGTAACGCAAATTGATGTAACTTTATGAATGTATCAGGGAACACAACGCGGATGTGAATTGGATATATAACGCGAATAAGTGAACATAACTACGTCACGCGAGTAGGAATAAGCGGTCGTACGGCTGCCTCGGCGTAGCGTCGTACAAGGCATTGGGATGCTGCTGGATACCTCAAGATGCTACCCACGCGTCTCAGTCTGTGTTCAGCCTGCGTACGCATCTCACGTGTTATTGTGGACTGTGCTATACCCTATATTAGTTGTCTTGCCTTGCATACAACTTTGTTAAATGTATCTAAAATGAGTGGCTTCGCGACTAACACTGGAGCACGCATTTTTTAAAACAAATTTTCATGCTTTAAAAAAAAATCATTATCTAACTTAAACAAGGTCATTATAAAAGAAGACGTAAAAATCAAAATGACATCACTAATTATCATGAAAAAGGTCAGCCATGTTGGTGTTTTTAAAACCTCCTACCTTCCATTGGATCGATGGTTGTTATTGTAACATGATATTTCCATAACGTCGTGTTCTTCAGGAACACAACTACCACCGCGTTATAGGAGAACAAACTGCTTATATTTGCGATGGGTTTACGCTGAGAAAGCACACGTGTGTTAACTGTTATAATGTTGCTGGCTGCTTTGACGCTTTAGGCATTGGGCCTGTGCTCAGCAGCAGTTGAAAAAAATATATCTATATAAATATATATAAGTTATTGGCATTGAGTATTTCCTTGGGTGTGATACGCTATTGATAAATATATTAGTGAGTAAATGTTGTCATTCAACATTCAGTAATTACAGTTTAAAAATTACATATAGCGCACAAAATGTATGAATTTAATTCTAGACGTCTTTGCAAAACGAGACGTCAAAATCTCGAGGAATTATTTTTTTTACAGGTGAAATATTTTGATAAATAGAATAAATACAAGATGCCGTTTAGTGGCCACTCGTAACAGGGGCCTGCTGGGACGTACATTTCCGTATTCATGAATTAAAATGCAAATTGGCATGTCATTGTTCCTATTTCTATTGTCAGTAAAATATTGTTCAGTATTTTAGCGTTTGATTTTTTTAACACTTTCTCCTGAGTATTTTTATTATAATGGGCATTGTCTGGCACGGAGCACGTCGAGCGGCCATTGTGTAAATTGCCTTCCATGGGAGGTCAAAGCGCCCAGTGAAATGTCTCGGTGCATCAGGTCAACGGCAGTGACTCAAAACGAGTTTTCTGTTCCGAAAGTAAACCGCCAACGATGCATCATTCCCACTGAGGTGCCACGACACTCGCCGTTCCCACGTTCACCTCGAAAACTAGCAACGCGGCCGGCCGACTTGGCACGAGAGCAAGCGGCTCTCACATCGGAAAGTTTTTTGCGAGTTGAAGTCGTGGTCCGGTGTTGACTCGGCCCATCGTATACCCACCGGCGTGGGGGAAAATTTGTAGCACTTTTGTGGGGAAGTCATCATTGGTTTCCCAGGCAACGGTCACGTCCCTGTTATAGAAATGTGGAATTTCCGCCACTGGCTCAGGGCTGTAAACCAGAGATGAGCACAGGTGCCCCAATGCTCATTTGAGCCGGAAATCATTAAGTTACCATGAGCTAACATGAGTTAACGCGTAATCGTGTTGAGCTGAGGCTCAGGAGCTCGTTGGTTAATTCCTCACAGTCAGGATGTCTGCATTACCCATCCCTAACAATGCCGTTTCTGCCCCGAGTACAAAACGGTATTGAGCAAGACGAAGCGAAGGGGACCTTAATAGCTTTGAAATTGCCTTGCTGAGCCTGGTTATAGGATCGGTTAAAAAGTGTTGAAGGCATCACCTTGGGGACGCACACTTTAAGCAGAGCCTCGCTCGCAGCAGGAGCAAACGGACCGAAGCCTTGGCTGGAGAAGGCGGAGCCCTGGACGCCGTGAGCTACCCGGGGTAGCCCCCGGAGTGGCCTCCGGGGTAACCCCCCAGGTTAGCCTCCTCAGGGTTTCTGGGCAGACAAACAGAATGTGTCATGCTCGGCGTACCTTCTACACACGCTCACATCAGGTGGTGGTTCCTGTAGCGTTTATATAATAATAATAATGATTTCAAAAATTGCACCAGTCAATTATTGTTAATTTCAAGTGAACTGTAAATTAAACTTTTTATTTTACCAGGCAAGGCCAACTGAACGACTGTAGCTCTTTTTCAGAAGCGACCTGGCCACAAATGATAGCTCAACGAAGTGGCTTATCACGTGGAAATGTATAGCAGCCAAATCCTCTAAACGCATGTTTCTAAATGTGGAGGGAATAACCGGAGGACCCGGAGAGAAATCCACGTGACCACGGGGAGAGATTGCAAGCTCCAAATATACAGCAGCAGGCAGCAGGGTCGGGACCGAACACACGACCTCCTGTGTACCCGGCGAGGTCGTTAACAATCTTCGCCACCGTGGCGCGCACCATATTCCATCCGATGGGCAATTTAAAAAAGTTCCACAGTGAAAACTGAGCTCACATAGTAGACGTGGGAAAGAAAATAACCGGGCAAGTAGTGCTGCGGCGGCCAGTCAGAGGGACGGCTTTTTCATCACGGAAGCTTTTGAAGCGTGGCTATTGTCACGCCATCAGATTTAGAAATTGCATCCATTTCCATCCACCTTCATTTAGAGTGGCCGGTCACACTTGCCAGAGATTGTCCGCCATGCAGCAGCCCGACAGAAATCAAGTGCCATTATGCCGCGAGAGACGGCGGCAGCAGCAGCTGTGCACCGTCGTGTGTTAGAAGCAACGATGAACCGTATCGGTGCACTGCACTGTGCGCGAGTGTGTAGGTGAAGAGTAGTTTTGGGTACGATTCGTGTGCGGCCGTTCGTTTGCCGCTTGTGCCTGGACACGCGTGCCAATGAAATGTTCCACTTGAAGGGATTTTCGCAGGTAAAATATTTGGGAAACAACAAAAAATTATATTCGTGGTTCTTTCGGTAAAGTCACGTAGAACAAAAGAACCAAGAATATGAATCCCTGCAGTCACGAAAGCTTTAAATTGAAACAAAAAATCGGGCTACTGTGATTATAATTGTTTTCAAACCCAACGTGTTTGCCAACTGTTGAGTGTTGGCTTTAATTTTTTTAAGTCAATACCCAATGATTTGAGGATTTGATCCAACAAAAGCTGCTGCCGCCAGGTGGGACGTACTTGCAGCAC